CCAAGGCCATGTACAGGTCATTTTTCCGGCCCGAATAATCTGGGACGCCTAAGGTTAAGCGTAAACTCTTCAAACAAGTTTCTTCAACTTTCAAGGGTACATATCTGTATGACCTTGCCTTTCAAGTTATGTTCAAGGTCATTCCGCCTTCATCTTCGGTTACAGACTAAGCTTTCGTTTTTATGTTTTTCTCATTAAAGAATTATGTAGATATTTATTGTCATATTCTGACATCACCATTCCAAAATTCAGATGATAATCTTAAAGTTATTATTTGTATTTTGTAATTATATAATATCAGAATGATGTTACATGTAAATTAAATATTCATTGCAAAAAATTACTAATGCAATATCATACTACAAATGTATGAAAAATTCTTCAACTTAACAAAAACAAAATAACTTCAATTCCTTTACGTTCCAAATTTTGAAAAATCATCAAAAGGAAATTAATCATGAAAATTGAGTAATTTTTCAAATTTTCTATTTCCATTAGTCTTGGAAGTTCCGATTGTAATTACGTGATCTTAATTTTGTTTGAGTGATTGAAACCTCTAAAAATGCCTGACTATCAGCCGAATGAGATTATGGATATGTTATTGGTTTTAGGGACAAGTCATAATAATTATCGTGCTGCAGCTAGACTTTACGCTGAACGCTTTCCTCACCGACAACACCCAGATCATAGACAAATAAGTCGCATAACTCAGAGAGCTCGTCGTGGACGTTTGGTTAGGCAACGCAGGCGTCACGTGTATGACGCAAATGATGTACGTACACGTACCAGAACGAACAGCGCAAACACAAACTAGCAAATAACCTAAGCAAGCTTCTTAATAACGTTCTACAATTCAAGAATACTAGCAAGTTCCTTCAAGAAACAAAAATCATGAATATATTGTAAATTCTTTATACATGGAACCACCTAATCACAATAATTTATACCACATTACAACTGCGGTCTATGTAATAACTAATATTAATTCTGCTAATTAATGTAATTAATATATGTATCTATGAGTCGCTAATAGCCTTACAGGGGGATGCGATAATAAATAAATAAAGAAAGAAAAATAAAGTGATTTACGCTTCACTGATTCATTTAGGATTCATTGACCTTTTTGCTTCAGCATTATACATATTTCTGTTACCCAGAAAATGTCATTTCAACAAAAGGATACCAGATCACTTTTCAGACATTTAAACTTCATTTTTTACCTCTCAAAAGTTGCAAAAATAATATTTTCATAAAAACAGTTTGATGTAAAATTTTCTGCTCTTTCGAAATCCGCAGTGTTACGTCCCAAGCAAGCCAGACATCAGACACTGATATGTTGCCGAAGTAGCAGTTTGCGAGTGACCTTTACTCTTTCTCACGCGAACGGCTAACTGCGCGGTCTCTCGCGATCAGCAACTTCGGTACGAATCGACCTCTAAATGGAATGTACATGTAAGCCGATGCCGTTTCCTGCGGAGAAAGGAAATCGCGTATAGCTTTCCGTCTAATTGCGCTTTGACAAAAGCACGTCATGAAGGCGAGAGAGACAGTTCTCTTCTTTCATGCTTTCACGAGAGTTGCTGAATGGAATATGCAACGATTCGCGAAGCTGATTAAGCAATTAGCCCATTGGTCGGTGACATTGGCGAATACGTCCATGGGCGGGTCATCGCGAAGCTTTTTCCTCGATTGCAGGAGGACTCGCCACACTCGGTAACCAGCAGTGAAGCAGTAAAGACTTGCGCGTAAAGTCTAGTAAAGGTGTCGAAACTTTAAAAATTAGAAAAGTGCATTTAAAACCGATTAAATTTTCTTGTAAACGTCAAGTATAAGTATTAATTTAATAAAGGTGTCGATACTTCTTAAAATTGTAATTTCAACTTAACCGAAAACTTCCGAATTCCCTCTCGTCTTGTGGAGTGTGACTGGCCGTGAGCGGTGCTTTAGGCACAATCATTTCCTTGGCAAGCGACGGACTGCAGGTCAACAAATTAAAAGGAAACAACTCGAAAAACAAATCAAACAATAAAGGAACAATTCAAAAGGTAGCGAAGGGTACCCGCTACAACAGGTTCTCCCTTTAATTCTTTTTTTTTCTCTTTCTATAATTTTCGCTTACTCTAGGCGGATTTTCCAAGTAAGTTTAATTAAATATTGATAAATTCCGGACGTAACAGCAGATATAAATAGCGTATCTATTAAAAATAAAATCATCGTGACCTTGAAATAACCTTCAAAATTGATCTCAAGGTCAAAACTAATGATACAATCAAATGACCCCTCTTCCTGGTCAACATCTATCTAAACCATATTTTATAGATACCGTAAATTGGTATATATATATAGACTTTACTGTATTGTTTAGAACCTCCAATAATTGCAACGCGTAGAAAAAATTATAAATCAATAGATTATTTTAATAAAAATACTGTAAATCATTTTTGGATTATTTGGTATAGTAGCTTTTTCAAAAAAAAAGTTAAAAAATGGTCCTTCAATAAAATTCAATAAAATTTAATAAAATTTTATTTTTCAATTGTTTATAAACATGTCAATTTTGAGCTTTTATTTATATTTGTAGAATCATTTTCAACATTTTTATTTGCTAAAACTACTGTTATGTACACGTTGGAATTGATTTAGAGTACATTGATTACAATAATTTATCCATTTATATTTTTTTCTATATATTGTTATCATTATTGTAAATAAAATGATAGAAAAAACTCTATCTAATTTTGCATTAGTTTATATATTTATGAAGGGATATGAAGAACTCTTAAAAATATTTCATATAATTTAACATCAAATATAATTTATTCAATATTTTTCCATTTAATCTTGATTCTTGTAAAATTTTCTTGTGCTCATGACTTGACTAACATTAACTTAATTAAGTGAATAACATTGACTTTTTTAAAACTGAAAAGTTTTATTTAACCATCTAAACAATTTAAATGAAATTGTATTGAAAAAGGAATGGTCGATCTCTAAATGTAAAAACTTGCAATGATTTAATAGTTGACAAGGGTGATCAACTACTACAGAATTTAGATTAATAGTTGGATGCATTTAAAAATAAATATATATATTAATGTATTTAGTTATAATTAGGGGTACTACTCATTGATTATTTCGACTCTTCTCATAAGTGTGTTAAAAAATATGAAGTTAAAAATATTTATAGGCTTTTGTTAATGACTTTTACATTCATGCTAGGATTAAAACATGAAATAGGAAAATGTAGGTTTCTGAAGAAGCGTCAAAAGACATATGTATAATACATATTATTTTTTATTGCTTATTTTCATTTCATAGATTTTTTGAATACTTAGGTATGAAGGATTTCTAGAATAATTTTAGTTTTAAGATTCATCATCTTATTTTTGATATATTCAAGTTAAAAAATACTATTGGTCATTATACCCTATCAGTTGATTGATATTTCGTGAACTATATTAGTTCTAAAAAGAGTATTACAAATATTGAATACAAATACATAATATATACATAGAATTATAACAGACACATTTAGTATGATTTTGTTTGAATTGTATATAAAATCACCCACATTACTATATATTTTAACACAGGGATGCAGAAAATTGCCAAAACACAGACCCCCCTGAATTTGAATTGCTTACCGATGCTAATAAATAATCAGCATAATATTGATTTTCTTTATAAATGCATAATATACTGAAATACTAATGCATTTTACAACCTGTTACCATAAAATCCACAGGAAAATATTACAAATAAATAGAAGTGAACTTCTCTATTATTAAATCTCATATGAAAATTTTGATATGATTGTCATCAGCCTAATAAAAAATTCTGTGGTTCTTAAACATGTGCTCAATCAAGAAAAAAAAAATTAAAATAAATGCAGTTAAAACTTGGTCAATTTTTCAAATGGATTAATGTGGTGGCACATGGTTATTGGAGACAGTCAAAGTGGTTAATAGAGAGATAATGTCATGTAAAAGGTACCTATGTTATGAAACTTTTTATAACATTTGTGCCTTTTGAAGTTGAACATTAGTTATTTGATGTTTTAAAATACATTAGTGCCAATAATATATTAAGGACAAAGACTTAATACAAATATATAATACATATACAAGTTAGATTTGTTTTTGTAAATAAAAAATTTTAGATACATCATATTACAAAAAAGCAATGATAATATGTAGTACCAATATATTACTATTTTTATTATCAAGATATGATTATTCTTTAATTTTTGACTAAAAATGTATTTAGGAATTTTATTAATTATGATTGTAATAATATTTTAGGAATTTTCAATTATTTATGTTCATATTTTTTTTTCAAATCCAAATAAATCTTATTAACATTTCTTGATTGAATAGTAGTTCAACATTAAAAATATTGTCCATTTTATATTATTTTTTTAATTATTGAAATCACCAAACTACTAATGATTACATAAATAATCTATCATTACATTATAAACTCTGTAATAAAAGAAAATATAAGTAAAACAGTAATATTCACTACTAATTGTTAATATTATAGTTATAGCCGTTGGTTAATAATCATAATTGCCAATCTAAATAATCTTTGAATATTATTGTTTTCAAATAATTATAAGCATTATTTGCAATGTACTATATCACATACAAAAATATATATTTATTCAGATTTGCAAAAAATATATATATTATTCATATTTGCATTTTACAATCATATTTTTTTTATAAAAGCCTATTAAATTTAATATGAAAATTCTAGGTTAATTCACAAATTTTAAGCAATGTCATCACACCTAACCATAAATACATATATATAGGCATATATATATGTATATATATATATATATAATATTTCTATTATTGACTGGTAAATCTAAGTAAAATAATTATAAATTGTATAATAATATTTGTGCAACTTAAAAATTGTCAAAGGAGGAAAAGCTACTAAATCATACATATATAATGTTCATATTCCTATAATTTATTTTGTAAAACCGTTACCTCTAATTTAAAAACAGAGAAGACAAAATTTTTAGTATTTTTATAATAAAAAGATTATATTCTAAGAGTTAAAAAAATTTTATTCAGACATATATACTTTGTTCAAACCAAATATAATAATAATAGATGAAATAAAAAGAAATATTCATTATGATAGTTATGCAAGTTAAAAAAGGTCAAATAAGGGTACAACCGTGTGATGAATCGGTGACAAGCAGTCACATGACAATCAAGGCAATATTTTACATTACGGGTAGGTATAACAAAATTTTCTAGGAAATAAGGCTTTTAATGTACGGCCACATATGCGCGTTCAGATGCGTACAAAATACTAAAAGTATTTAATTATACCTTATAATGCCACGATATATAGAAAAATAACTATGTTGGTTTTGTCTCGTATGATCAAAACGTTCATACCGCTTTCATTGAAGAGAATCAAATATGACTCCTAAAATTAATATAATGACTATTCACATTGGCGTTGATTTTAGAAGTGCTTTAAAATACAATACCAGTAATGTTATAAATAACTGCGATAAATAAGAGAAGAGAACAGCGTTGATTAGAAAAACAACTTTATAAGAATTTTTGTTGGTGTGTGCATCAGAGATCGCATTAGAAAATATACATATAGTCATAACAATACACAGAATAAAAACAATAACGATAAACCGACAATTTACTTTCCAATTCCATTTAAAGAAGAATTTTTCTATAAATACAAATCATCATTAAAGAAGAGTAACATTGTATGCATACCAAAAATGACAAGCAAGCTATCTAATATTATTGTTCTAGGCAAAGATAAATTAAAGAAATGGGAGAAAACAGGCACAATTTATAATATTCAGTGTAAACAATGTCCATCGAATTACATCGGTGAAAGCAAAAGGGCTCTCAAAAATAGAATTAGTGAACATAAATATTCCGTGAAAAAAACTATTGAAGATCCAGTCAACTCTAGATTTAAACTTTTACCTATACCGGCCCATATCGTGAATAATCCGGAACATGAATTTGATTAGGAGAATGCAAAAATCAAGCATTTAGAAGCTAATTACAGAGAGAGATGCATCGCAGAGTCAGTGTATATTAAAATTACGGATAATACCATCAATTCACAGGAAGATACAAAATATTTAAACAATCAATACTCAAGAATACTCAACATCATAAAAGCTATTTAGTTTCAGTACGAAAAATAAACATAGATATTACACTACATCACTAATTCCCTTTCCTTCCAGTGTTTCCCCCACTCATCAAGTACACTCTTTCTCTTGTTGTGTCTCTCTCTGTCTTTCTCTTTTATTTCATATACAGTACGATATGTTATTATATTCATAACAGTTACTTGGCTTTTAATTTGCTGATCATGATGTGTTTTTACCTAATTGACAAATTATGTTTTTACCTAACTGACAAAAGATTGTTAATTTATTTATATTTATTATTAGACAGAAAAATTAATATTTATTTAATTAAAGTGTAATGACTATATATGTGCGGAAGAACTTTTAATTTATTCAATTTTATCTACATTAGAAAACGTATGTTTATATTATAATACAATACTAATATTGAAAGAATTCATTTATTTATAATAATATATATATTCAACAGATGTACTGAGGTGGCAATAAATAAAATTGCGAAACGTTTATAATAAAATAAGTGTGTAGTTTATTTATAGGGATGACTCCTAAGATCAAGATTACTAATATAATTAACTTTATAAGAAGTTTAAAAATTCATTTAATTTCAATTATATTCAGCAACGTTTCGTCAGCACTTTTCCTGACCTCTTCAGGTTTTATTAACAGAAAAACAACAAATTATTAATAATAAAGTTGCTAATGTAATTTTAAAGGCAAATTATATGTATATGTGTGTACCTGATTTCTATCGTAGTCAAATTATCATAGGCTAAAACATATAGTTCGTAGCCAGTCATGTTACAATACAGTAAGAAATCAAATATTTCAACACACATATATATATATTCTTCATCTATCATCCCTTCCTCATCGATCTTAATAAAGGCTTATAAATATGACTAAGATATTGTGTATCCTCTTTTCTATTTAAAGTGTTTTTAGGTAAGCTGATGAGCAACATTTCCGATATTCTGCGTTTCTTGTAACTCTTCTCATATTCCAATATCTCACGTAGCTTTGTCCCAATCTAATTCGTGTGAGAAGGTTCTTCTATGTGTAGCTACCACTGTATCTGAGTTAATGTTTTTTTGGTGTTCATTTAATATAATTTTTAACCCTTTGCACTCGAGAGGTGACTCTCACTCACCATCGGGTGTGCTACCGCAACTCGAGAGGTGACCTTCGCTCACCACTTGGTTTGCTGCGGTAACTCGATACGCGGGACTAACTGTTTTCGTTTACTTTGTTCGACGCATGTTCTTACGCTCTTTCTATACAATGTTAAGAAGTGTAAACGGAAATGGAGATAACATTTTCTTATTTGGGATTAGTCCGCAACCACGAACCGGACTGCATTTTCGGCATCAGTTCGAACCTGACAGTCGTAGCAGAGAGACTGCTGAATGTAAAGTTTTTGATCCCTAAAAACATGGAACGTAATGCTGAATTAAGTTCAAGTGAAGATGAGTTCGATTTCACGATGCTCAAGGAGGAAATTACGGGTCTACACAGAGAGCTTCAAGGTACAGAGAATAACAGCAGTAGTGAAGATAGTGACGAAGTGAGAGGTGTCATAAGGCGAAAGATCCGAGTAATAGACAGTGAATGTGACAGTGATACTTATACTACAGAAGACTCACAGTCGGACAGTTCCGAATGGATTACTTGCACTGAATCTGAAGAAACACCGGCAAGAATACCATTCATAGCCGGCGACACTACTGCAGGACCGCACGCACCATCAGATAAGGAAGAACCATTGGATTTTTTAAAACTCTTTGTTACTAATGAACTGGTGAATGAAATTGTTATCGAAACCAATAATTATGCCGCAAAAAAATTAGATGGAAAAACATTATCTCCTTACTCGATATGGCGAAATTAGCGGAATGTAACCATCGAAGAAATGTGGGCGTTTATTGGTGTTATAATAAATATGGGGACAATGCCGTTGGCAAATTTGCAAGAATATTGGTCACGGAGTGATGCCAGCTACATTCCTTTTTATTCGAACAAGTTTACAAGAGACAGATTCAATCAGATTTTTTGGATGCTTCATCTAAAGACAATCCAAAGACAAGATGCAGGACCACGAACACGCTTACAGCTAGTTAGCTGTTTCCTGGATTACATAAATTCAAAATTTCTAAACTATTTTACACCGGGAAGAGAAATTTGTGTGGATGAATCTACGATCAAGTTCAAAGGTCGGGTCTCCTTCATTACTTACAATCCGAAGAAACCGACCAAATGGGGGATTCGAGTTTATACGATGGCAGACTCAACTACCGGTTACATCTGTGGCATTCTTCCTTATTATGGAAGTTTGACAACAGACAGCTTGATAAGGCACGACCTTCCGGTGTCAACGAGAATACCATTGCATCTGTACTCAATGCTGCTGGAAAAACTACCTGGTGCTCAAGGACATCATATGTTCACCGATCGTTATTACACGAGCTATATCTTGGCCGAAGAATTATTGAAATTAAAATGCCACCTTACAGGAACTATCTTAACAAACAGGAAGCATCTACCAGAACAAATAAAAAGAATAAAATTCGGAAAAAAATCAATAGTAGCATACCGGAAAAAAAATACATTAATTTTAGCGTGGAAGGACAAAAGGGTTGTCACATGCTTGACCAACTGGAACAATGCAGGTATGACGCGTGTAAAACGAATTTTACGAGGTGGAGTAGAAGTGACCGTCAAGAAACCTAACGTAATAATAGATTACACCAAACATATGGGCGGTGTCGATCGTGCCGATCAGTATGCTTCAACGTACTGTTTCCTAAGAAAATCACTCAAATGGTGGCGTAAACTGTTTTTTTGGGGTTTGGAGATTTGTTTAATAAATTCATATATTTTATATAAAACCACTAAAGAACAGAGAAGCGAACGGCCGCTTAATCACTTACAATATTTGAAGACATTAGTCAAGCAATTGACTGGAGATTTCCACCAGCCGCGCGACCGAGCCTCGACTTCAACAGCCGAATCCGACAACATCCGCCTAAATGGAAAGCTGCATAGCATTCTAACAGGAGTTAGAAAAGATTGCAAAGTCTGCTCTCGAAGAAACAAGCCCGGCAAACGACACCAAACAACCTATTATTGTGACACTTGTCCCGACAAGCCGGGCATGCATCTAGGCAGTTGTTATCTCAAATATCATACAATGCAAAATTACAAAGAGTAACGTTTGAGAAATTATCATCTTAAATATGTAAAGATACATTTAATATTAAAATATAAGTTTTATGTGTTACTTTATGTGTGTAATCATTTCAAGCTAGAGGTAAGAAATTCACCAAATACGCTACAAAACGCTTCGAGTTGATGGTGCGCCGCGCGAAAAAGGTCCCGAGTGCAAAGGGTTAAGGATCGCTTACTTTCACCTACGAGGGGAGGTCAATAAGTCTTTACAAAAAGAAGGAGAAAAAACTTTAGCGTATGTGATTTTTTTTTATTTTTCAACATAATCTCCTTGAAGGTCGATACATTTAATTAAATGGCTTTCCAGATTTTTTATGCCATCAGAAAAATATGATTTCTGAAAACACTCAACATAGGCATTTGTTTCGGCGATGACTTATTCATTCGAAGTGAATCGTTGTCCGGCAAGCCATTTTTGAGGTTAGGAAATAAGAAAAAGTCACTGGGAGCCAAAACAGGCGAATTGGTGGATGGTCAAATAATTCGAACTTTAAATCGTTAACTTTTGCCATCGAAACTGCACACGTGTGAACTCGAACATTGTCTTGAAGAAAGAGGCATTTTTTTTTGTTCAAGTGAGAACGTTTTTCTCTGATTTTTTCTTTCACCTAACCTAATAATGACGCATAATATTTTCCAGTGATCGTCTGGCCCTTTTCCAAGTAGTCGATATACGAGGGTGGTCCGATAAGTACTTAGTCTACAAAAGAAAAACGAAAATTTTGGAAAAGTGGCGTTTTATTTTTCAACATAGTCTCCTTTTAGTTCGATACACTTAGCCCAGCGATGCTCCAACTTCTTTAACCCGTCTGAAAAATACGTTTCCTCGAGGTCTGAAAAGTAGGCCTCCGTGGCAGCGATTACCTCCTCATTCGACTCAAATTTCTGCCGGCGAGTGACTTTTTCAAGTTTGAAAACAAAAAGAAGTCGCACGGGGCTAAATCTGGAGAATACGGTGGATGGGGCAGCAGTTCGTAGTCTAATTCGACCAATTTGGCCATGGCGACGGCGGAGGTGTGAGCCATTGCGTTGTCATGGTGGAAGAGCACTTTTTTCTTGGCCAAATGGGGCCATATTTTCTGCAATTCGACGTCGAATCGGCCCAATAATTCGGCATAGTACAGCCCTGTAACCGTTTTGCCCCTCTCCAGGTAGTCGATGTAGATCACACCTTGTGAATCCCAGAAAACGGTGGCCATCACCTTCCCGGCCGATGGGGCAGTCTCCGCCTTCTTCGGAGCACTTTCGCCATGTAAAGTCCACTGTTTCGACTGTTCTTTGGTCTCTGGTGTGTACCAGTGGATACATGTTTCGTCGACTGTCACGAAACGAGGCAGAAACTCCTTCGGATTGCGCTTAAATAGCGTCAAACATTACTCTGAAATTGTCTCACGGTTGCGCTTGTTGTCCGGAGTGAGCAAACGCGGCACCCATCGCGCCGACAGCTTTCTCATGCCCAAATTTCATGCAGGACATTACCCACGCGGTCTTTTGAGATGCCTACGATCTTAGCTATCTCGCGCACCTTCAATCGTCGATCTGCCAATACGAGATCGTGAATTTTTATCACGTTATCCTCCGTGGTAGCCGCTTTCGGAGCACCTGGACTTGGCTCTTCAAAAATCGACGTGCGACCACGTTGAAACTCGTTAAACCAATTTTTGACGGTCGCCATCGAAGGAAAAGAATCACCGTACACTGCATCCAAGCGCATTTTGATTTCGCTGCGCGATTTCCCTTCCAAAAACAAGAATCGAATCACCGACCGATACTGCTCTTTTTCCATTTTTCAAAAATCAACGGACACACTTGCTTTCACACGCTCTCAAAAATAAACTACAACTCCGATCCGGCTGAAATCTTGACAGTAACCATCAAGAAGGTTGTACTACGTGATAGAATAATTCTTTTCGGAGAGTGGCGCCATCGGGCGGTGAGGCTAAGTATTTATCGGATCACTCTCGTAGATGATTCCATACCCATCCCAGAAAACCGTGACCATAATCTTGCCAGCTGACTTTACTGTCTTTGCCTTCTTGGGGGCTGGTTCTCCTGCGGTAATTCATTGTTTGGACTATTCTTTGGTTTCAGGAACGTAGTGGTGTATCCATATTTCTTCTACAGTTACGAGTCGACGCCAAAAGTCTTCCGGATTACGACGTATCCGTGCCAAAAGAGCCTAAGAGGTGACTACGCGGGTTCGTTTGTTTTCAACAGTGAGCAAACGCGGCACCCATCTTGCTGATATTTTTTTCATCCCTAATTTTTCAATCAAAATTAAAATGATTGTATCCCTTGATATCCCTGTGGCCTCAACTAATTCTAGCAATTTTAATCTTCTATCACTCAACACCGCATCGTGGATTTTGTTGACCATTTCGGGCGTACTCACTTCTACGGAACGTTCTGAACGAGGTTCATCTTTTGTTGTTGTACGGCCACGATTAAATTCATTCACCCAGTTATAAACAATCTTAAACACAGGGGCAGACTTGCCATGAACGGCGTTCAACTCAAATATGATTTCTTTTGGTGTAAGGCCTTTCAAATGAAAATGTTTTATCACCGCTCGAAACTCCTTTTTTCCATTTTTAAAATAAACTAATAACTTTTTGTTCAACCAACGCTCACAGGAAAACGACTTAATGAATCGAGCAGAAACTTTGTACGATATTTAGTTAGTGGTATTGCTTGCCAAAAACATTATAATTTAAGCGTGACGAGCGCCATCTCTTGGAATGTTGTAAAGACTTATTAACCCCCCCCCCCACCTCGTATATTAACAGCTGAACATTTTTTGCAGTTAAAACTGTAGACAATACCAGTATTGTCTAATAAATCAGATTTACGAGGTGTGTTCAAAAAGTAACGAGAATTTTTAAATTTCGCGGGTTTGGAGAGTCCGCTTGTATAAAATTTTTTTTTATTATGTTGGTACACATGCCCCTGAAGTACGATAAAATTTTCAGCAATATTCATTGCTTACTTTTTAAGTGGCAGCCGCTAACGTTAGACGTGTTTTTCGAGCTCGGCGATTTTCGTTTGTGAAAAAAAATGGATAAAAGAATTTGTATTAAATTTTGCGTAAAAAATGAAATAAAGTGTAGTAAAGTTTGTCAAATGTTAACAAAGGCATATAGTGAGTCTGCTATGAGTAAAGCAAGGATTTATGAGTGGTATAAGCGTTTCCAAGATGGCCACGAAAACGTTGAAGATGACGAACGACCCGGACGCCCAAGCACATCAACAACCGATGAAAACGTGAAAAAAGTGAAAGAAATGTTTATGAACGATCGCCGAATCACAATCAGAGAAGTCGCTGATGATGTTGGCATATCAATTGGCTCATGCCATCAAATTTTTTCGAATGTTTTGGGTATGAAACGTGTGGCAGCAAAATTCGTTCCAAAATTGTTGAATTTCGAACAAAAACAGCGGCGAATGGAAGTTGCTCAGGAGTCGCTAAATGAAGTCAATAACGATGCAGAACTACTAAAACGTGTTATAACAGGTGACGAAACATGGGTTTACGGATATGATGTCGAAACTAAGGCTCAATCGTCCCAGTGGAGGCATTCTGGATCGCCAAGACCGAAAAAGGCTCGACAAGTACGGTCGAATGTGAAGGTTATGCTCACTGTGTTCTTCGATTTTAATGGCATAGTGCATTATGAATTCTTGCCACAAGGTCAAACAATCCGAAAAAAACGCCCGGATTTGTGGCAAAACAATTCATGGCTTTTGCACCACGATAATGCGCCTGCTCACACTTCATTGCTTGTTCGTGAATTTTTGGCCAAAAACGAAACTGTAACGATGCCTCAGCCTCCATATTCGCCAGATATGGCTCCATGTGACTTTTTTCTATTTCCAAAAATAAAGAGAACATTAAAAGGCCGTCGTTTTACAAGCATAGATGACATTAAAAGCGAATCGCCAAAAGAGCTAAAAGCTATTACAAAGATCGAGTTTCAAAAGTGTTTCGAGGATTGAAAAAAGCGTTGGCATAAGTGTATTGTATCCGAAGAGCACTACTTTGAAGGCGACAACATTAATGTAGATGAATAAATAAATATTTTTTTCATAAAACGAAAATTCTCGTTATTTTTTGAACACACCTCGTATCTTTTCCTAAACGTATGAACTCTTGTAATGGTTTTTGTAATAAAGATATTGTAATAATGTCATGTTTTTTAATACAGAAGAACATTTTTTGAAGATGTTGCAATTATTTGAAATAGCGACTATAGGTAGTTTTTGATTTATTGATTTTTTAAAATCATTCTTCCCTTTTTTATATTTGTTAATCCGTTTGTGTATAAGTTTGTTAATAAATTCAGACGGATAATTATTCTTTTTCAGGATAATAGTAACTATTTTTAAATTGCGTGAACGAAATTTTTTGTCAGCATGTAAAAACACTCAGTCAACTGAATTTGAAACTATATTAACTTTTTGATGAATTGTATGTTCTGAGTTAAAAGTTAAAATTCTGTCAGTTTGTGTTGTTTCTCTAAACCAGTCAAATTCAAATTTATTATTATTTCTGATCAATTTTAAGTCGAGAAGTGGAATAAAATTATTCATTTCAATTTCAAACGTAAATAGTAGTCTATTATGATAAGAATTGAACGTCTCGACAACTAAATCAATTTTATCTTTCGGAACGCATATCAAAGTATTGTTACATCGAGGATGAGTCAGACTATTTTATGGCGGTAAATTTTGAATTTTTTATGGAAGGGGAGTTCCTGTAATTAAAAGCAATAGTCATTTAACAGCTGACTTTAATCTCAGTGACGCACTTACCCCTTCTGGGATTAACCCTTTACCGATTAGTTTTTATGCATTTTGTGCTATAAAAGAGAACGCAAAACAATTGTAACAGACTCTGTATTCTACTCTGTGATACTACGCTCCTTCTGTAATTTGATCAATAAATATTGTAAATCTATTTCTATAATAACTTATTTGAGAGTTATA